GCCAGGCAGAGGCCCAGGCCAGGTGGATAATGTGCCCCCCCTTTTTTTTTACCCTGGGGATAACTGAAGTCTTATAAATAAGTACAGTGGTACCTTGGGTTACATATAATAAATAATAATAAATTTTATTTATATCCCGCCCTCCCCAGCCGAAGTCGGGCTCAGGGCGGCTAACAACAATCAAATAATCAAACAGTCAAATTGATGGCAACCGATTAATTAATCAAATTGATGGCAACCGATTAGGCAAAATTCTGTGCAGGTTACCAGAGGAGGGAGTCAGGCTGCGCCCTGACCAAAGGCCTGGTGGAACAGCTCTGTCTTGCAGGCCCTGCGGAAAGATGTCGGGTCCCGCAGGGCCCTAGTCTCTTGTGACAGAGCGTTCCACCAGATTGGAGCCGCAGCCGAGAAGGCCCTGGCTCTAGTTGAGGCCAGCCTAACCTCTCTGAGGCCTGGGACCTTGAGGATGTTATTATTTGCAGACCGTAGGTTTCTCTGTGGGGCATACCAGGAGAGGCGGTCCCGTAGGTACGAGGTACATACACTTCAGGTTACATATGCTTCAAGTTACACACTCCGCTAACCCAGAAATAGTGCTTCAGGTTAAAAAATTTGCTTCAGGATAAGAACAGAAATTGGGTCCGGCGGCACGGCGGCAGCGGGAGGCCCCATTAGCTAAAGTGGTGCTTCAGGTTAAGAACAGTTTCAGGTTAAGAACGGACCTCCGGAACGAATTAAGTACTTAGCCCGAGGTACCACTGTATATAAATAATTTTCACAAAAGCTATGCTGACAAATAATTTTATTTCAAGGCTAGAACCGTATCTGCATAGAAAATGGAAAATATAGATATACAATAGTCCCCTGCGATTGTGAATATGCTGACGGAGGCCCCCTTTGGAATCGGAGGCCCAGGCCAAGTGGCCCATATGGCTCCCCCCCCCCCCCCGTCTGGGCCTGCCAAGACCTGTGTGGTTCCCTTTCTTTCTCTGAGCCCTGAGTTCCCGTTGTTCAGGTGAGCCCTGATCCATTCTGGCAAAGCACAGCAAGAGCCCAGGTGAGGCTTTAGGTTATCAGGACCCCAGGCAGCTGCTTACCAGATGCAAGGCAAGCTCAAAAGCAGAGATATTTGAGTGTTGCTCCACCAACAGAGTCCACCACCTGCTGCAAACTTAAATAGGTGGCTGTCTCAAGCTCCACCTCCTCAGAGGAGAACTTAGGGTTAGGGTCAAGATTAGAGGTCAGACTGCCTTCTTCTTTACCTGCTTATATATTATATTTTATTGAGTTTTCCAATTTAATAATCCAATAAGAAACACATTATAACATTCCAAATTACAACACAATAAAAAAGCCGAATATATTGCCAAATTATATATCTCTGGGTGACTTCCCATGCCCTGAATTTTGCGGAGGGCTAATCATCTAATATCACATTGCACTTCTTAATTGGTCAATAAACGATTCCGATGTTAATCCTTCACTGAATTTCCATTTAGGTTTGCAACCACTGGTCTGTCCAAACGTTCGTCTTCATGGGGCATAGGTTGAGAGCTTGCCTGCTCAACTGGCAGGCTTTTCTAAATCCTTAACTGAAACTAACTTACTGAATTGGCTCAGAATACTTTGAGAAGGGTGGAAGGAGTGGCTGAAAGAAGATCTTCAGCCGACCGTTGATTTGTCACGACTGTAAAGAGCAGACTGGGCAGCCAGAGACCCATGAAGAACCAGACAGGCCCTCAAGGCAAAAAACTCGTTTTCTGAGTGCAGTGAAGCTCTCCATCCATTGGTGACATTCTCCTCACGCGAGGAAGCTTGACCTTCTGGTGAGTAAAGGATGCGTGGCGGGTGCTGTGCAAAACTTCATCTAGGAAATAAATACAGAGGGAGTCAACCACCCCTCCAATGATTCACGCCATTTGAAAATAATCCAGGAAAGCTGAAGCTGGAAATACGATTTTTCTTTCTGCGTTTTCAAGATGTTCTGCAAAACCTAGGAAACTATTAGGAACATTTTTTTTTTTAAGAAAGGAAGATGCTTCACCCACAAACCCACCCACCTCGCAAGCCAGTGCCAGATTTGCTCAAGAGACAGGCTAAGGAGGGGCTGCTTCCAGCACCATACAAGCAAACGCATAAAAAAATAAAGTAAGAGGGAGATAAATTTCTGAAAGAATTTGATATTTCAAAAAAAGTATCAAAGCAGCCATCGTGGCAGGTGGGGGAATTAGAACTGTATTACCTTTTGTGCTAGCTTTCTACTTTGGGGGAGTCTTCTCAGAAAAAGCACTCAAAAACAGGGTGCACCAAACCCCTCACTTTGAAATGTCATCCTCCATAGTACCAGTTCCAGATGCTATCGCCCACTTCCCATCTCGTCCTGCAGTACTGGTAGCCTGTGGCCTACGATTCTATCATCTATCTATCTATCTATCTATCTATCTATCTATCTATCTGTTAAGTTGTGGGTGAACATATCAGACGACACAGCGATTCTTCAAACAGCTCTTATTTATTCACAAGCCAGAACAGAACTGAACTGAAGGGTTCAGCCCAGCCTGCTTATATAGAGCTCTACTAGAACGCAACAGTAACCATTTTCTGTAACTATCCAATCACTGAACGTCACTTTCAATCCCTTATTTGCATATGTGGACCTGAGGGAAAACTATCTGCAGTATCCCCCTGCTGGCCCAGTGTGAGAACTTCAGTACATAGCACTATCTATCTATCCAGCTATCTGGATATATATAGTTCCTACTCACCAGTCTCAGGAGCAGCCCCTGGTAAGCTTCCTGAACCATTCGATGTGGAGCTGGTGGTACAAGAGCTCTGCGACTTCAGAGAATGGGGTGACGTCCTCTGCGAGTGATGGTGATACCCCAGAGTTGCGGCAGAGCTGCTACAATCTGAAACAGCATAGGAGGGCAGGTTTTGGAGGGTATGAAAGCATAAACGGTCTCCTGCCCCCCTGAAATCCATTTTTTATTTGCTGCCATTTATGCCTAGAACTGCCTCTCAGAATGCCTCCGCACGACCTCTTCTCTAGTCTAGATTACTTTAGGTCTTTCTTCAAAACTCGGCTTTTCCCAGAAGCCTTTGGGTGTTCCCCATGCCTTATTGTAAACTAAGCCAAAGAACGTGGAATTAAAGCCGTCAGATATTCTTTCCATAGCTTCCTTCACCTCCTTCTCATCTGCCGCTGCCTCCTCTGTTGTTTAGCTGTGTCTGTACGAGAATGGAATCCCCCTGGGACAAGGACTGGTCATACTTGGAATTTATAAAGCCCTAAAAAAACAGAACCATCACACAGAGACACAGACACAGAACCTGTGCCTCCGCTTAACTTAAATAGATTTTTTTAAAGGCTTGCTGTTGCTTTGTTTTCCCTTTAACTGCTGTTTCGCTCTATTTAAAGCCCTGTATATGAGGTTCTTGGGCTTTTTAAATAACTCATTTTAATTTTTGTTGCATTGTTTTAAATCATTTGGTATTTTGAGCCTTTGTTGTTGGCCACACTTAAATCTATTTTTTAAAAAAGATTTAAAAATGTGATGTTCATTTTAAAATATAATAAATAATAATCCTAACACATATCATAAGGGATCGCGGGTGGCGCTGTGGTCTAAACCACTGAGCCTAGGGCTTGCCGTTCAGAAGGTCGGCGGTTTGAATCCCCACGACGATGGGGTGAGCTCCCGTTGCTCGGTCCCTGCTCCTGCCCACCTAGCAGTTTGAAAGCACGTCAAAGTGCAAGTAGATAAATAGGTACCGCTCCGGCGGGAAGGTAAACGGCGTTTCCTGTGCGCTGCTCTGGTTCGCCAGAAGCGGCTTAGTCATGCTGGACACATGACCTGGAAGCTGTCTGCGGACAAACACCGGCTTCCTCGGTGAGGTGAGCGCACAACCCCAGAGTTGACCGCGACTGGACCTAACGGTCAGGGGTACCTTTACCGTTAACACATATCATAGCATACAGGATTGGTGGATTGTATCTGAGGACTTTCATAGGGGGTTCAGTTCCCTCACTCCCTGTGCTATAATGGCCTCTTACTGGGCAAGGAATGGCTGGGCTGCTTCATCACAGTCCCTCCAGCACAGGCAGAGAGCAGCTCAGATGACAACAAGTGCAAAAGCAGCCACAGAGAACAATGTCAGCCCATACCCAAGGGTTGGTTTTATATATATGAGAATGTCATACCAGAACAGCTGAGCCGAAACTTTCCCAAGCAGAAATGCACTCGGCATTGTTTCCTCACGTTCTCCTTCATGAGACAGTGGAACACGAAAATGAAGAATCCTAGAAGAAGGAGTCAGGGGGCAGGGAGCAGGAAAAACATTCATTAGATTATACCCCCCTCCCCACTCCTCTGGCCACATTTTGCCATCATCTCTTCAACTACAGAATGGGTCAGAGTCAGACCAAGAGATTTTGCTGCCAGCAGACAGCAAAGTGGCCGTAATACTTCTGAGTTTTAGTGGCTGAATTACTACTATTACTATTTATTATCTCTCTCACACACATCCCACTCAAGGATTTGTTATTGGCAGAAGAGCTTCTTTCTGTCAGTCTCTTAAGAATCTGAGGCTACCCTCCTCACTCCCCCCCCTTTTTGGAGGGGGCACAAGTCTGAAGCCTTCATGGTTTCAGGTCCGAAATCACAATGCCCCTGGCCTATGACAACCTCGCTTCTGAGACTGGTGTGGAATTCATCTTAGGTAAAGGGACCCCTGACCATTAGATCTAGTCGTGGCCGACTCTGGGGTTGCGGCGCTCATCTCGCTTTATTGGCCAAGGGAGCCGGCATACAGCTTCCGGGTCATGTGGCCAGCATGACTAAGCCGCTTCTGGCAAACCAGAGCAGCGCACAGAAACACTATTTACCTTCCCGCAGGAGTGGTACCTATTTATCTACTTGCACTTAGACGTGCTTTTGAACTGCTAGGTTGGCAGGAGCAGGGACTGAGCAACAGGAGCTCGAATCGTGGGGATTCGAACCGCCGACCTTCTGATTGGCAAGTCCTAGGCTCTGTGGTTTAACCCACAGCACCACCCACGTCCATTCATTTTGGTACCGTTGCTTTTTTATGGAGCTTCTCTCAGCAGGTATAAATATAGGTCTGTTGTTGTTGTTTGGCTCCACTCCCCTGGTGCCTGCGATGCCCTAACTCCGGGGCTGCATCCTGCTCTAGACCCTTCACACGGGGGACTTAAAGGGGCTGCGTCTTGGGCACAGGGGGCGAACGAGCCCTTCACCTCTTTCGTTCCAGCAAGCTCCGTGGGGACGACCCGTCCAGAATCCTCGTCCACCTGTGCTCTGCGCTGCTGATGCTCAACCTCACCTTCCTGCTGGACTCCTGGCTGGCCTCTTTCCAGGTGCGCGGCCTCTGCATCGCCGTGTCCGTGGCTCTCCACTACTTCCTGCTGGCTGCCTTCACCTGGATGGGCCTGGAGGCCGTCCACATGTACTATGCGCTGGTCAGGGTCTTCAACACTTACGTCCCGCATTACATGCTCAAGGTTTCCCTGGCTGGCTGGGGTAAGTGCAGGGCAGGGGGGGCACTTCCCATCTTAGGGCCATATTACTTCACATGGAATCTTCTGGGGCCATATACCAGCAGTGGGCGGAGGGGGGATATGTGATTTCCCCCTTGGTGCAGGAGGTGGCATTAAGACCCTGCAGAAGGCAGAGGGGCGTCCCATCTGTCTCTCCGCCTCTCTACCCGATTTTCACTCTCTCTCTCTCTCTGTTTCTCTCTCTGTCTCTCTCTCTGTCCTTCTAACTGTTTTGTCTCTCTTTGTCTCCATCAATACAGTGGTACCTTTGTTCTCAAACTTAATCCATTCCGGAAGTCCGTTCCAAAACCAAAACGTTCCGAAACCAAGGCGTGCTTTCCCATAGAAAGTATTGCAAAATGGATTAATCCATTTTAAAAATAACCCCTTTTTAAAACAGCAATTGAACATGAATTTTACTATCTAACGAGACCATTGATCCGTAAAATAAAAGCGATAAACAATGTACTACTGCCACACAATCAATCAATCAATCAATCAATCAATCAGTAGATTGGGTTCCACACAGTCACAAAAACAAAACAAAAAAGAGCGGAGGTTCAGAAGAAGTGTGACTGAAAGTCAGGAGCAGCAGAGAAATATCTCTGAAAGGCCAGTTAGAATAATAGAGTTGCAGTGCAGCAATCGCGGCTGAATCACTTGCCTCCTGATCTTCCCAAAAGGGACAGTGCATATTTGTGGGAGAAATGTCTGTCTGTGTCTCTTGGTCGCGATGGCACACTAGTTCCTAGGGAGCGGCTGTGGCGGGGGCTGCTGCTTCCTTCAAGTCCTGCTTGGGGTGGGATTTCCATTGGGACATTTAGCCGGCCTGGGGGTGGGGAGACAGCTCTTGATCCAGAGGCTCTACGTGGCAAGGGCAGGGAAAGGGAGCTCACTCCCTAGCAAAATCCCTCATTGCCTCTTCTGTTTCAAGGCATGTGCAATCACAGCCTAAACTGAGGTCCAGTGCCAAGGGCCTTCTGGCGGTTCCCTCACTGCGAGAAGCCAAGTTACAGGGAACCAGGCAGAGGGCCTTCTCGGTAGTGGCACCCGCCCTGTGGAACACCCTCCCACCAGATGTCAAAGAGAAAAACAACTAACAGACTTTTAGAAGACGTCTGAAGGCAACCCTGTTCAGGGAAGCTTTTAATGTTTGATGCATTACTGTATTTTAATATTTTGTTGGAAGCCGCCCAGAGTGGCTGGGGAAGCCCAGCCAGATGGGCGGGGTATAAATAATAAATTATTATTGTTATTCAACGTATTCTCAGAGCCAACAGCATTGTGTTTATTTCAGTGGACTCTCCCAAGTGAAATGTCATAAGCTGAATTACCGTAAATTCTTGCCATGTGCCTTTGCTGTCGCCCATCCCCGCACTCCCCTGGAGATACAGGTCTTCCTGAGGACTCTCGCCTTCCTCAGACGGGTCACAATTGCATCCATGCTGGTCTTTTTCCTTTCCGGCTAACCCATTCTTCTTTCTCCCCCTTTGCCATTAGGAATTCCTGCGGTCATCGTTTCCACGGTTCTCATTATAAGCAGAGACTTCTATGGGGTTTTAAGCGCCCCCCTAAGCAGCAGTCCACTCACACCTTTGTAAGTCTCTTTTTTATAATTTTTTTTATAACAGTTTTTATAACAACAAAGACAATACAAAACAATACAATAAAAACGACAAACAAACAAACAAAAAACAAGTACAATTTCAACTCTTATTTTCTTTTAACTTACTTCCCCGACTTCCTCATACCTCCCCTTTCTGTATTCCAATTTCTAATTGATTATACAGCAAATCCTTCCCTTATTTTAGCTTAGTTTTGATCTTCCTTTTTCTCTTTAACTTATCCATTACCGCTAATAACCACATATTTTCTAATCCAGTGTCATTTTAACATTCATTAATTTTATAATATTTCTTTAGATAGTCCTTGAATTTTTCCCAATCTTCTTCCGCTGTTTCTCTTCCCTTTGTAAGTCTCTATGCTTTGATCCTCCTCAGATCAGCAGGAAGGAGGTCATACCTATATCCCCTTCCTTTCCCCCACTTTTTCGATTTTTTTTGGGGGGGGAAGGAGAATTCAACCTTCCTTGCTTTTCGGTACACCAAGCTGTTCACTCCCATCTGATGGGTCAATTGATGGTCCTGGCCTTTCTCAAGGAGATTCCTCTGTCTGTTTAGCTGCATGCATAAAATGCCCAAACATCCGAAGCTTACAATTCCTTTAAGGTAAAGGTAAAGGTACCCCTGCCCGTACGGGCCAGTCTTGACAGACTCTAGGGTTGTGCGCTCATCTCACTCTATAGGCCGGGAGCCAGTGCTGTCCGCAGACACTTCCGGGTCACGTGGCCAGCGTGACAAAGCTGCATCTGGCAAGCCAGCGCAGCACACGGAACGCCATTTACCTTCCCGCTAGTAAGCGGTCCGTATTTATCTACTTGCACCCGAAGGTGCTTTCGAACTGCTAGGTTGGCAGGCGCTGGGACCGAACGACAGGAGCGCACCCCGCTGCAGGGATTCGAACCGCCGACCTTTCGATCGGCAAGTCCTAGGTGCTGAGGCTTTAACCCACAGCGCCACCTGTGTCCCTTACAATTCCTTTACCACTTTGCAAATCATATATATTAAGATCATGCAGGATTTGTAACCAGAAAGCCTGACCTCCTTCATAACCACTCTAGAACTTATTCTGCAATTTCCAACATAAAATTCAGGTTTGTTTATTGAGGATTATATCCAGCCTTAGTCAGGTTTTGTTTTCTTCAGCGCCTTCCTTTTCAACAAGGCTTTTAAGTTGAGTCTGCTTCTGGCGCTGGGACTGGTTTCAAGATGTGTTTATTGTCTTATCATTTCTTTGGGGGGAAAGGACAGGCTATGAATTTAACTAGCCACCACTGATGGGTGTCTCATTGAAAAGCCTCAAGAGAGACTTCCAGCTATCATGAGCCCATCTGAAAGAAATGGCCCTGCCGGCAGCCTTAACAGCGTCTCTCTCCCTCCTCGCCTTGTCTGCTACAGTTGCTGGATCCGCGATGACCTTGTGTTTTACATCTCTGTGCTGGCCTATTTCTGCTTGGTGTTCCTGATGAACACCATCATGTTCATCGCGGTCCTTCTGCAGATTCACACCATGAAAACGAAGAGTCCTGGCCGAGTCAGCAGCTGGAACCACAGCTTCCTCCACAGCTTGAAGCGGGTGGCCAGCTTAATGGTCCTGCTCAGCTTAACGTGGGGTTTTGCCTTTTTCTCGCTGGGGTCCATGCAGACATTGTTCTCCTACCTCTTTGCCATTTGCAACACCTTCCAAGGTAAGTGTTTGCACACAGGTGTGTGGGCTTCAGAAGAGGGACCAGAGGAGCAGTTCCCTCCCTACAAGAAGCGAAGTTACAGGGAACCAGGCAGAGAACCAGGTTCTTGTTCTCACAGTGGCCATTTATGGGATGTCCATTATGGGAAACCTGCAAGCCAGACATGAGTCCAAGAGGAGCTCTATTTCCCCTCCTGCGGTTCTACCTCAACTCTCTTTTAAATCAGAACCAGTTACACATAGGTAGCCGTGTTGGTCTGCCATAGTCAAAACAAAAAAAATTCCTTCCAGTAGCACCTTAAAGACCAACTAAGTTAGTTCTTGGTATGAGCTTTCGTGTGCATGCACACTTCTTCAGATACACTGAAACAGAAGTTGCCAGATCCTTCTATATAGTGAGAAGGTGGGGAGGGGTATTACTCAGAAGGGTGGTGGGAATGGGTGATTGGCAGATAGCTGTGATGAGCCTGTTGACGACTCTTAACGACTGCAATAGGTCTTACAGGAAAAAGCAAGGAGTGAGAAGATGAAAAAGCAAGGGCTGAATTGCAACTCATTACCAAACTTAAAACCATGGAGAGACCTGGTCTGAACAAAGACATTGGATTCTTATCTCATTATACAAGACAAAGCCATTTTTCACCTTCTCACCCCTTGCTTTTTCCTGTAAGACCTATTGCAGTCGTTAAGAGTCATCAACAGGCTCATCACAGCTATCTGCCAATCACCCATTCCCACCACCCTTCTGAGTAATACCCCTCTGCGATGCGGGTGGCGCTGTGGGTTAAACCACAGAGCCTAGGACTTGCCGATCAGAAGGTCGGCGGTTCGAATCCCCGCAACGGGGTGAGCTCCCGTTGCTCGGTCCCTGCTCCTGGCAACCTAGCAGTTCGAAAGCACGTCAAAGTGCAAGTAGATAAATAGGTACCGCTCCAGTGGGAAGGTAAACAGTGTTTCTGTGCGCTGCTCTGGTTTGCCAGAAGCGGCTTAGTCATGCTGGCCACATGACCCGGAAGCTGTATGCCGGCTCCCTTGGCCAATAAAGCGAGATGAGCGCCGCAACCCCAGAGTCGGCCACGACTAGATCTAATGGTCAGGGGTCCCTTTACCTAAGATGAATTCCACACCAGTCTCAGAAGCGAGGTTGTCAATAGGCCAGGGGCATTGTGATTTCGGGACCTGAAACCATGAAGGCTTCAGACTTGTGCCCCCTCCAAAAAGGGGGGGGAGTGAGGAGGGTAGCCTCAGATTCTTAGAGACTGACAGAAGAAGCTCTTCTGCCAATAACAAATCCTTGAGTGGGATGTGTGTGAGAGAGATAATAAATAGTAATAGTAGTAATTCAGCCACTAAAACTCAGAAGTATTACGGCCACTTTGCTGTCTGCTGGCAGCAAAATCTCTTGGTCTGACTCTGACCCATTCTGTAGTTGAAGAGATGATGGCAAAATTGTGGCCAGAGGAGTGGGGAGGGGGTATAATCTAATGAATGTTTTTCCTGCTCCCTGCCCCCTGACTCCTTCTTCTAGGATTCTTCATTTTCGTGTTCCACTGTCTCATGAAGGAGAACGTGAGGAAACAATGCCGAGTGCATTTCTGCTTGGGAAAGTTTCGGCTCAGCTGTTCTGGTATGACATTCTCATATATATAAAACCAACCCTTGGGTATGGGCTGACATTGTTCTCTGTGGCTGCTTTTGCACTTGTTGTCATCTGAGCTGCTCTCTGCCTGTGCTGGAAGATGAACTCAGGGTGCAGGGTTATTGATAGTGACGTCAAAAGGAGATGCATTAGCTAGAGACAGAAAATACAATGCACACGCAACATAAATGCATTTTATCTGATAACAAAAAAATTAGGGAGGCAATCATCTTTTCACTGCAAAAGAAGGATAATCATTGATGAATATTTGTACTCCGTGCCATGAAAAGAGCATTTTTCATCCCCTCACAATCATGGCAGATTTCGACATAAGAGTATGGCAGCCATTTGTTCAACGTGGGGTTTAATTTAGGCCTTACAGGACATAGTTTATAAATGACCCAATTGCATCTTGCGGAGCTTAACACAGCAAAAAGCAAGCATAATTTTTTAAAGTGTGAGAAGAATATGTCCTGCCTGCCTGACATATTCTTTGTTCCCAGAGCTCTAACAGATCACCTTACCATGATGCTTCAACACCGTCTTCTATCACCCAAAAAGTGCAGTGTGCAATTTCTAGGGATTATTGCCTCCAGACTGCCATTATTTTGAGGGAACAATTCGAGCACACACCAGAACTTTAGCCTTGCGCAATTAAAAAGGACTAAAGAACTCTGTCATCCTAGCACAACTAATCTACTTTTTTAAAAAAAACAAACGGCCATTTTGTGGTTTGGAAAATGATGGGGAATTTCGTTCAAAAGTGTGGGGTGAACGAATGAGTAACAGGAAGATGTGTAAACACCCACAAGCAAATCAGGATCAATGTTCATTGTCATGAAAGTCAGATCAGAAACCCCATCATTTTTCTCCTTTGAAGCTGAACCTGGGCTTCTGCAACAACTTTGTATATATGCTTACACTTATTTAAATGCTTTTTTTAAAAAAAAACAGACTCCGCCATTCCTGAAGTCCTCACACTCTTTTGGATTAGGAGCAAACAGATAAGATCCTCACCACCACACAAATCACTACGGTGACCGTTTAATCGACTGTGCAGTCCTATACACATCTACCCATATGTAAGTACCACCAAGTTCAGTAGAGCTTACTCCCTGGTAAGCGAGTATAGGACTGCAGCCTAGCTAAAGCCGACTTTGAGTGCTCTTCTGTCCGTGCAATTGTGTTGAGAAACCCTCGCTGGCTCTCACTCATTCACTGCATCCCATGCTAACTCCATCCTCACACTGTCCATGCATTGGGGATATGTCTGCAGAAAGGAAGCCTTCTGAGTCAGTGGTTGACCTACATTTTGGGGGCTCTGAAGTTCGAACTGTTATGGGGGCCACTTTGCAAGCAGCAACGAGGTCTGGGTAACCACTGTTATCTTCTTCAGTGGGGTTGTTTAGAACAACCTTTACAGCATCTCCAACTTTGGGATGGTTGAAAACAAAACAAAAAATCAATTTGAGTTGTATGACTCAAATTGGGTCTACCAGACCACTTTTTTTAAGCAATGCAAACTAAATTTGCTTCTGGGGTCCCTCCAGGATTAGGGTCCATGAAGTTTAAGCTTTGGGGGGACTTATTCCTACTTATGCCATAAGTACTTAAGAAGAACTTGCTGGATCAGGCCAATGGCTCATCTAGTCCCACATCCTGTTCTCACAGTGGCCAACCAGATGCCTGTGAGAAACCAGCAAGGAGGATTTGAGCACAAGAGCTCTTCTCCGCTTCTGTCCGAGGCGGACCTTGTTAATATGGGGCCCTGGGAGACGCCAGAATTTGATGCCCTCATGCTGCCTTCCCAAAGCTGAGCAAGTGCTACCTAGGCTTTGGGAAGGAGGCAGAGGGACTCTAGCATCCTTCCCAAAGGGACCCCTGACCATTAGGTCCAGTCGTGGTCAACTCTGGGGTTGCGGCGCTCATTTCATTTTATTGGCCGAGGGAGCCGGCGTACAGCTTCTGGGTCATGTGGCCAGCATGACTAAGCCGCTTCTGGTGAACCAGAGCAGCGCACGGAAACGCCGTTTACCTTCCCGCCGGAGCGGTACCTATTTATCTACTTGCACTTTGACGTGCTTTTGAACTGCTAGGTGGGCAGGAGCAGGGACCGAGCAACGGGAGCTCACCCCATCATGGGGATTCGAACCGCCGACCTTCTGATCGGCAAGTCCTAGGCTCTGTGGTTTAACCCACAGCGCCACCAGATTTGACTCAGCCAACTGAGCCCTGGCTGAGCTGGGATAAGCAAGTAGAACCTACTTGCCAGTAGAAGTGGGGGGGGCAGCAGTGTATTAACCAACCTTGAATGTTCAACATCCCTCCCCCCGGGTTCCCTTCCCCCACCTTTCATTGCTCCTATGTTACTTCGCCGCCGCAACCGCTGCCTTCATTTTGTCAAAGCAATCAAGCAATATTGCCAAGAGATACAAAGCACGCTAGATCCATATATTTTTTAATAAAGCAGATTAAGCCTGTGCTTTCGCTTTCGCTTTATGCAATCTCAATTGATCTGAGCATTTTATTGCTATTTTGTTTTAAATAGCTGGCTGTCATTCAGTTGCACTTCTTCATTACAGACTTTTGTGGGTGGGTGGAGGGAAATCGGAGGAAATGTTACTCATCACGTTGCAGGGGGAAAACAGCATTGAGTTTATTCATTCACAATTTATCATTTCTCCGAAATATCATTTTGTGAGGGGGTGGTGTTAGGGGTCGTACCTCTGGTGGGGGACACATCCTGCTCTTTCTGGGGTACTTTGTCCACCTTTGGTCCCCACCCCGCCTGCACTCAGCTCTCACCTGTGGCTCCTAGAAGCTGTCAGCGTGCGACAGCAGCAACACCCCAGGAAATGGCTTTGACTGGCTGGCTAAACCAGGTGAGGGTATCCAATGGGTTTCAAACCCTTAGTGAGTTTGGGACTTGCCCTGCATGTGAAGACAGGTGCGGCGATCACACAGGATCCTTGGACGTTTAATGGTCTATGGATCCCTGTGCCACCACTGTGCTCGCTTCCCCGCTGCCACCAACCCGTTACTCTCTGGTAAAACACTGAGTCCAGACAGTTGTTAAAAGTGAACCAAAAAAAACCCAAGTTTATTTTACAAACATTAACAAGTTTATGGTTTCTCAGACAATATTCCTGTCAGTATCTTAACTTTAGTTTCTTTACCAGCGTATACCTTCCTAATACCTTCTGACTGATTATCTCAACTGTTTGACTAACTCCTCTTAACAAATTCTCTCACACCAGACTAGCCCAACCCTCAGACTCATCTTCTCCAGACTGTCTTCTCAACCACCCTAAATCTAACTCCTCCAAAAAACCTCTGTGCTTAAACCTTATACCCAGTTAACTCCACCCCTTGGGTTCCCATTGGTTAGTCATTTTACAATTAGTTAACCCCTTCCTTATGAACCCAGTATGATGTCACACACCTAGGAGGGCAAATGCCACAATCTCCAGTAGATTGAGTGAACAAGACCCATAGTTGGTCCAATGGCCAAGGTGGTTTCTGCACGAACTGTAGAGGGAAGTGAGGGGCAGGTGGGGTTTCGTCAACATGGAAGGTAGCCCATCTAGATGAAAGAAATCTATGATCCTAAACCTTGACTGCCTTGCAGGATATTTTGGGGAAAGAAAAGGCTCAGGAGTAAACCCTATGCAAATCTGGCATGGAGTCCCTAAGATGGTAGGGTGGCAACTTGTTTGCCCCCTTCTAGAAACTCCTGCAGCCAAGCTGGTGCCAAATGTATTGGTCCTTTGGGCCACACCAGCCAGGCCAAGATGGGGGTCTTGTTGTCTGGGCAGTCCAGGACCTCCATACACGCTGCCCAGGCTTATGCCCCAGGGAGGTCCACATCATGTTATGATTATCTATATGTTTGCAATAATAATAATAATACAGTGGTACCTCGGGTTAAGAACTTAATTCGTTCTGGAGGTCCGTTCTTAACTGAAACTGTTCTTAACCTGAAGCACCACTTTAGCTAACGGGGCCTCCTGCTGCTGCCGCGCCGCCGCTGTCGAGCGATTCTGTTCCATCCTGAAGCAAAGTTTCTTAACCTGAAGTAATATTTTGGTTTAGCAGAGCCTGTAACCTGAGCGTCTTAACTGAAGTGTCTGTAAACCCGACGGTACCACGAGTATGTTGTGGTTGTGCCTCTTCCCTATCTCGAGAGACGTTGGAGTGGACGACTCGGTGCTCAAGCTAGGGTTGTGTTTAGAACCGGCTGCCCAATGATATGTTTATATATTATATATTCATTCATATCCAGCTGTTTTTGGACTACAACTCATTCGAAATATGTGCTTTCTTGAGTTTTGCCATGTGGTGTTCTCTGGCAAGTGACATGTACAGAAATGCATATATCGGGGTAAAGAAGTATGCATAAAAATTAGTGAAAATAACAGCCAAAAATGCATTATATTGTTGTGGGGGAAATGTGCTGCAAAAATGTGTATTTTATGCAAAATTGCATACAAAACTGTGTTGTGGTATCTCGTCCAGAAAAATAATACAGTGGTACCTCGGGTTAAGAACTTAAATTTGTTTCCAGAGGTCTGTTCTTAACCCTGAAACTGTTCTTAACCTGAAACACCACTTTAGCTAATGGGGCCTCCTGCTGCTGCCGCGCCGCCGTCACGCAATTTCTGTTCTCATCCTGAAGCAAAGTTCTTAACCTGAAGCACTATTTCTGGGTTAGTGGAGTCTGTAACCTGAAGCGTATGTAACCTGAAGTGTCTGTAACCGAGGTACCATTGTAATAGCAAACCGACAAGGGAGAGTGAAGAGCTGAACTTACAATTAGAAAAAATGGAGAACTGTGAGGAACTGTAATTGACAGATTCACCCGTCCTTACTGTTGGGTTCTTGCTGCCTTTCCAGGTCTTGGGGCTGTTTGAGGAAGGAGCTGGGGATTCCCTCGAGGGTGAGCAGATCCTGCTGGATTCCAGCCAGACACAGCTGGACAGTGAACTTGAGCAAGAGAACGACCCAGCAGATGGGAGCGTCTGTGGTAAGTGCAGTACATGGTTAGTCTTCCCTTTGTGTTGCTTTGAAACCTGCCTTTGCAACCATGAAAGCTAGAGACTTCCTTTCCCCTGCTGGGCAGAAACAGAGCCCCAGCACCTTGTCACTCATACAGATCTCTCTTTGATGTTGTCTTTAACAGGTAACCTCGAGGGATCCAGTGAAAACGAGGCTTCCGTGGGAAATCCAAAGCAAACAGAGATTGATGGAGCCTTGCCCAGAAGAGAAAAATGTGTTTCCCGGCACCACCCAAAACCAGGACAAACTTCCAAGAAATGGCTCAGGACAAGGAGGAAGCAGGAATGCAGCCCAGACAAAAGATCAGGGGCCTCTTTCCTTGGAGGAGACGATGTCAAGGACATCCCAGCGAGGCCTGCGTCCGAGAAGGTGGAGCCCTGTGAGGAAGAGGGGGGCAATTTTGGTGACGATGCGGACTTCTTAATCGATGCTGAGGGCAAGCCCCACAAACGCTCAGAGTTTGAGACGTCCAGTCAGAGAGCTGAGTTTATGAAGCATCGCACGGGAGCCCAAGTGGCAAGTGAGAAGATTTGCTGCTGTTTGAGCTGCGGGAAAAGCTTGCACTCCGATTTAAGCCCAGCTGAGCATGAGCAAAGTGACACACAGGAAGAAGAGGCTTGCAGATGCTCAGACTGCGGGGAAAACCTCGACAGGGGCTTGGCACTTGTTAAGCGCGCAATAATCCACGCAGGAGAGAAGCGTTACGCGTGCTTAACCTGCGGGGAAAAGTTTAGCCTCTATTCGAGCCTCATGAAACACAAGCGCACCCACGCTGGAGAGGAGATGTATGCGCCCTTTGAGGCCGGGAAGCGAATCTGCCGGAGCGACAGCCCTCCTTCCGTGACAGAGAAAACTCTGGGGGCAGAGAAGCCTTACACATGCCCCACTTGTGGGAAGAGCTTCAGTAAGAGTTCCGGCCTCCGTTTCCACAAGAGAATCCACACCGGCGAGCGGCCTTACGCGTGTGGGGATTGCGGGAAGAGCTTCAGCCAGAGGTCCAACCTTATCCTGCACCAGAGGACTCACACCGGGGTGAAGCCTTTCCGGTGTTCCGAGTGCGGGAAGAGCTTCCTGCGCAGCTCGGACCTGGTGAGGCACGAAATCACCCACACGGGAGAGAAGCCGTACACGTGCGCCGAGTGTGGCAGGTCCTTTGGCCACAACTCAACGCTCATTGCCCACGAGAGGACCCACACGGGCGAGAAGCCGTACAAGTGCTCCATCTGCGGTAGAAGCTTCCGGCACCACTCGGGCCTTATCAAACACGAGAGGACCCACACCGGGGAGAGGCCGTACGCCTGCCCAGCTTGCGGGAAAGGCTTCAGCCAGAGCTCAGGCCTCACGCTCCACATGAGGACCCACACGGGAGAGAAGCCTTACCAGTGTTCGGCTTGCGGGAAGAGCTACAGCCAGAGGTCAAAGCTTACCAAGCACGAGAGAACTCACCTGACAGAATAACTTTACATTTTCTCATTCAGGGGGTCTGGGTGTGAGGTGGGCAGAGGTTGGACCTCAAACCTCTGGTCTGTGGGGTGCTTGCGGGGGGAAACATCAGTTACCTGTGAGGGCTGCCAAACAGTCGGCTCCGTTAGCAAACCTGATTGTGGGGGCGTCCCCACAGCAGTGCCATGTGGCACATTTTGACCTGTGTCCACGCCAGGTGTCGCCAAACAACACCCACAGGAGACAGTGTGCCCTCCTGTGGCACCTATGGAAAACTTCAATAAATCACCTCTCAAACATCCACAAGTTGAAAGGGACCCTGCCCTCCCTGCTCAGTTCCTGCCTGCACTGTCTCAGCCCCTCCTACATTGAATACGCCTCTTTATAGCTGCCCACATTTCATTAGGTGCCAGGGCTTCAGAGAGATGTTCTGAATGGGAGAGAAGAGCAACTACCTTCTCTATATAAGTGGTGGCAGATGTAGGCGCCTGTTTTTTCTTGAGGGGGAAGGTGCATGCCTGCATCTTTTTGCGGCCCTGTCTCTTTTTCCTGCTCTTGTGGATGTGCCCGCCCATTTTGTGCTTTGCCACATCCTCACAGCAGCCATTTTGTGACAGGCGCCACTGGCCATTTCTCAGAATTCCACTGGCCCAAAAAATGTGGCCGACCACACGCTATTGTCCTCATCAAAATGCTACCCTGTATAATTTCCCCCTTAATTGAGACGTACTATCCCTGTGGAAAACCTGTTGCTGTGGAATTTAATCCAATAAATTTAAAACAAACAAAGAAGCTGTAAAAGCAGATTAAATTGGGCAGGGAGGAAGGGACGTCATTTGGTTGAGGATGACATGGTCAAGATGCTGTGGAAAATGTGAACAGTACCAAGTCCACAATAAGTGAATTGCATTTCTCAGGGCTTCAGCATGAATTGTGGGTGGTCCTTGTAGCCCCCAACAACTCAAGCCTCTCCCATTTGAATGTTCATTCAAACAATAAGCTATTCCACAGCTTTTGTTGTTGTCCCAGTAAGCGAGGTGTTTGCTCTTTATTTTTCTAATCCCAACTTGTCTTTTTCTTAACATGGTTTTACCTGCCACAGAGGGCGCTTCCAGACTCTCGCTATTTGGTGGGCAGGATTCCTTCATATACCAGCAAATGCAGGTTGCACAGTTGCAGTTGATGGGGAGGTCTTGTGCCACAAATCCACTTCCATCCCCCAAGAAAGGATTAGACTTCTTTCGGGAAGGAAAGTGATGGGGAAACTCACTGAGGTAACCCTGGCTTGGACGCCATCTTATGTAGCCTTCCCACAAACAAAGCAGAATTCATGAGAACGTAGGAAGCTGCCTTTATCTACCAAGTTCAGACCTGGAAGGGCAGCTATACCTCACACCCTGTTTGTGTCCAAATGTCCATCTCACATTTGCTTATGACTGAAAATAGTTGTTTGGAAGGGGGAAAGCATACTGTCTTTGTTTTTTCAATGGTGTATGTACACGTGCTGGGGATTGAGGGGCAGCCCCTCATGTGAAAAGGAAAATACCTCACCTAAGGTGGTGTCTGTTGTATGCTTTTTTCACTTGCATCTGTATTAAAAAAAAGAATGGATATTTCTTTTAAAAATGGATGGTTAATTGGGATGCGTATTTAAAAGAGCTGTGGGGTTTTTTTGGGGGGGGCAATAAAATGTTTGATTAAAGCAAGAGTGGCTAATTCCCATTTAGGCAGATTTCTGCCCTCCACATCTTATTCTGGACCCCCAAACACTGATTTTGGCAAGGGTAATGTCAGTCCAGCTCACACACAGTGAGAGTCCTGCTATGAGCAGACCCTGGCCCTCTTGCAAGGAAGAGAAGAAGAAGAGTTTGGACTTGATATCCCGCTTATCACTACCCGAAGGAATCTCAAAGCGGCTAACAATCTCCTTTCCCTTCCTCCCCCACAACAAACACTCTGTGAGGTGAGTGGGGCTGAGAGACTTCAGAGAAGTGTGACTGGCCCAAGGTCACCCAGCAGCTGCATGTGGAAGAGCAGAGGCGCGAACCCAGTTCTCCAGATTACAAGACTACCGCTCTTAACCACCACACCACCATATTTGAACATGGCTATCATATCACCCCTTAACCTCCTCTTCTCCAGGCTAAACATGCCCAACTCCCTTAGCCGTTCCTCATAAGGCATCGTTTCCAGGCCTTTGACCATTTTGGTTGCCCTCCTCTGGACACGTTCCAGTTTGTCAGTGTCCTTCTTGAATTGTGGTGCCCAGAACTGGACACAGTACTCCAGGTGAGGTCTGACCAGAGCAGAATACAGTGGCACTATTACTTCCCTTGATCTAGATGCTATACTCCTATTGATGCAGCCCAGAATTGCATTGGCTTTTTTAGCTGCCGCGTCACACTGTTGGCTCATGTCAAGTTTGTGGTCAACCAAGACTCCTAGATCCTTTTCACATGTACTGCCTTCAAGCCAGGTGTCACCCATCTTGTATTTGTGCCTCTCATTTTTTTTTTGCCCAAGTGCAATACTTTACATTTCTCCCTGTTAAAATTCATCTTGTTTGTTTTTGCCCAGTTCTCTAATCTGTCAAGGTCGTTTTGAAGTGTGATCCTGTCCTCTGGGGTGTTAGCCACCCCTCCCAGTTTGGTGTCATCTGCAAATTTGATCAGGATGCCCTTGAGTCCATCATTGGTATTTAATCTTCATCAACAATAACCAGAACAAAAGAATAACTACAATAGATTCCGACTAAACATCAGGAAGAACTTTCTGACTGTAAGAGCTGTTCGACAGTGGAATGGTCTCCCTCAGGAGGTGGTGGGCTACTTCCTTGGGTTTTTGAGCAGAGGTTGGGGTGGCCATCTGTCACGGATGCTTTAGCTGAGATTCAGGGGGTTATACTACATAACACTCGGGGGGGTCCCTTCCAACTCTGCAATTACAGGGTTCTACGCTTATTCAAAGGTTAACTTAAATTTGTCACTTCCAGTTCCCTTACATGGGCTGTGTTTTGGTATTGAAAGTAAAGAACAGCTAAATGAGCAAGTGAGGACGCAAAATTCATAGCTGTCCCTTAGCCCTGGTGGTTTTTTTGGATATGGCGGATTATGTCCAAATTATACAGAGTTTGTGAAAATAATGAAATTGTTCCAAATTGAAAAAAAATAAGTAAAACATTTTTTAGAAGGCCATTACAGGAACAGGGTGGTGGTGTTGTTTGCTGTAATGTTTCTAGTAAATAGAAGTCAAGCATGGAGATGTGGTTTGGGGGTAAGAATGTTAACTGTCGGCTTCAAAGCCAAAGCAATACAAATGGCCATCGGAAGGGGGTTGTGGGACCAGTAAGTTCAGGGCTAAAGTTAACCAGCAAGATGCACTTTGACTTTGCAGGTCCCACCTTCTGATTCTGGTTTTAACATTGCATTTGTGAGGGCTCCCTTGGACAAGAAACAAGGACACCAGCCAGGAATACCAGAGCAAAACAGCAGCCAGTAGGCTTGGTCTTCATTGAAGACTATTGTGACAGGACTCCCACCTGCCACAAGGTGGAACAAGATGGAAGCCCCAAACAAAGAGCCCCCAAACTTTTATTAGCTGCTAATCCCCATGTTAGCCCCCCCCAATACATCACTCATACATCACAGTTACATCATGAAAGGGGAGGTCTGGTGGCAGTAATCTGAGCATCCTGGACCCTGCCCCATGGTTCTCCTTGCCCTCCACCAAACACCCATCAAGTGTAACAAAAGAGATACCGTATTTACATTTCCGTTTCCCAGCCAAGTTATAATCACACCCTTTTGTCTTCATCTGGGGTTTATTTCTGGAATGGCACTCAGGTATCAGGATGCCAGGGGATTATCACTCAGGCAGAGGGGCTGCTGAGTAGCTGAGCTCACATGTCTATATGAATTTCTGAAGTTTTCCCTGTGAGCCCGTACATAGATACATCTATCAGTGAATTCTTACATTTGGTATTGTGCAGCAGAGGCCCTTTGAATAGACAGGAAGAAACTGTGATGAAGTGTTTTGTGGGGACAAATCACAAAGTCACAGAGCGATTGTGCTGATTTTGGTAGTGGGCTACATGTGCATGATTTCTGCTGGAGGGGCAACCCCCCCAACCTATACATAAATTCCTGCAACACATTTTAATATTGCAGCAACTGCTTAATGCACAGGTCAACGAGGTGCAGGGGCCCTGCCGCTTTTGGCAACGAGGCGCCTTCAAAAGGAAGAGCACAAAATCTCAGTCAAACCTACTGGGTGCGTTTTAAAACGATTCCGGAGGGGTGGTAGGTGTGAAAGGGTTAAGGGTAAAAAAAGATAACGCGCGCCTCGCTTTCTAGAGCGGCCCTGAGAATGAGTGGGCACGTGGGTGTGCGCCGATTCGTGTTGAAGGTTCCTTCCTGTTCCGCCTTCTGGACCATCCCCCACCCGCCCGCCCTCCCGCTGTTGGCAGAAGTGGCACCTGGAGTTCAGCTGCAGCGACCTTCCAGGGGTCGCCCTCGAAAGAGGTGAGAGATGCGCGGAGCCTCCCTTCTCATGGGGGGGGGGGGGGAGCGAATTCAGCATTTATTTTTTTCCAGGCCGAGGTGAACAGTGGAGCTTTTTATTTTGCAGTTTCCCCTTAGTTTGGAGCCCCAAAAGGAGCTGCAGATTAGGTTGGTTGGTTGGTTGAAAGCCACTGCGGTGGGGGGTGGGGTGGGGGACAACACAGATTTTCTCTCCTTCCCACCCCACGCCGTTACCCTTTCTTTTTAAAGATAGGGTGGGGTGGGTTGCTAATAATAATAATAATAATAATAATAATAATAATAATAATAATAACAACAACAATAGTATTTTATTTATATCCCGCCCTCCCCAGCCGAAGCCGGGCTCAGAGCGGCTAACATCAGTAAAAGTAACACATTTACATAAAATCACAGTCAATTTATAGAAATGCATTCTAAAATCAATTCAGAATCAAATTAGGAGTGTAACTTTGGAACCACAGAATTGTTGAATTGGAAGGAGCTCCGAGGGTCATCCAGTGCAACCCCCTGCAGTGCAGGAATCTTTTTGGCCAACATGGGGCTCGAATCCACAACCCTATACCGATTGTTTTTTAGACCATCTAGCTGAGCTGGCTGAAGCTCTTGTGAGGTTTCGGGCAGGAGAAATTTCCAGCCATTAACATGGAGATGCCGGGGACTGAACCTGACAGTTATTGATGACTATGCTTGGCTATGCTTGGAGGAAATAATGCTTCTGAATACCAGTTGCTGGAAACCACAGGAGGTGAGCGTGCCCTTGTGATCGGATCCTGCTTGCAGGTTCATCTTATTTCAACACCCTCAGAGCCTCCCTCAGAGTGGAAACCTGGAGAAGGGCCTCAGAAGAAGATCTAAAGGTCTCGGTTCACATCAGGAGAGACATTCCAGAATATATTGGGGTTCTTGAGCTGCGTCAGCATGTAAGAAATCTGAGTTTGTAAGAAATATTTTATTAAAAAACATTTACAATATACAAGTGCAGCTGTTTGCAGAAGTATTTTATATTCATTAAGAGCGAGAGAGAAGGCTAAGGGATGTCTAGCAGCTCCCCCTCCAGGGCCCGGAGGGGGGAGAGTGCGGTCTCCAAAGGCCGATTGATTGCCAAATGACTGATATTTGTAGAACACAGTTTAATACTGCCAAACAGTTTTGCCTAATAACTTAGTTTGGAAGATACTGGTTTAATAAAGCTCAAAAGGAAGGTTTGGACAATTATTAAAAAAAATTGTTTTCAAATAGGGGCAAAAATGTGCTGAGGCTTTTCTTTTTCTTACAAACAGGGAGAATTGAGCTTGTCCTGAGCCTATGGCATCACTGCCATTACTTTCCAAAACTGTGACACTGCAGAAGGTCGCATCCGTGGCATCGGATCAGCCTGTTGAATGAGCATCAGGCTGAGCATAAAACTCATGGGCTGTGGGACAGCGAAGACTTCATGGTGGGCTCTTCTGAGAGCAGCTCAGGAAGACAACGGTTGACTTCAGAGATGTCTCTTGTGGAAAGAAAGAGGGTGTCAAAATGGGAGTCGGCAGGAAACCAGGACCAAGGTGTGCCTGAGAAGTCAGGAGCGAAGGTGGAGGTGCTGGACCCAAAGGGCCGTGGGCCAGGGGACCGAGCGGAGGAAAAGCAAGAGGGGAAGGAAAACCCTCGAATTATCCAGTGTGGAGCCACTGAGGACTTGCTGAGATGGCCACCTCTCCCTCAGGTGAAGCAAGAAGCAGATGACAAACTGACTGAGCACTGGGAAGCCCAGTGGCAAGAATTCTTGAAGGCCACACCATCCCTTCGCTCGACACTTGAAGACCCGCCAGCGTGTCCGCCATGGAGCGACTCGATGGCCTTTCTTGCCTCCTTTGAGGGAGCAGCTACCGTTCGCCGCTGGGCTCGAGGAGAGTGGGTGGCCCATCTCTCACCTTCCTCCGGCAGAGAAGCGGACCGAGCTTCCAGCCCCCTGAACGTGGCTGAGGTGGGGTCCTCTGGGAAGGGTAGGGAAGACTTCGTGGGGACAGAGATGCAGGACCCACAGTTGTGTCCGCAGAAGGCCCAGGGCCTCCGGGAGGTTTGCTGCCGACTCCGGGAGCTTTGCCAGCAGTGGCTGACGCCCAAGACACCCATGGAGGAGCAGGTGCTGGAGCTGGTGATCCTGGAGCAGTTCCTCTCCATCTTGCCGACGGAGATGCAGAGCTGGGTCAGGGAGCGCTGCCCGGCAGCGTGTGCCCAGGCAGTGGCTCTGGCTGAGGCCTTCCTGTTGAGGTGTCGAGAGGCCGAGAAGCAGCAGCGTGAGGTGAGCATCTCTTGCCCCAATGGAGGGAGGACTGGCATGGGCTGCAGAGCAGATCTGAAGTGTCAGAAGGCAGACTTCTGGCGGGAGAGGGCAAGGGTGGGTGCTGTGATGGTGTGTGTGTGTCTCTCCCCCCTCCCCCAATCTCCCTGCACTGGAAGGGCTGTAGCTCAAAGCCAGCACATCGGCTTTGCATGCAGAAGGTTCCAGGTTCAATCCTCGGCATTGCTGGGTAAGGGCTGGGAATGTATCCCAACTCCAACCTGGGGGAGCCACTTGCAGGTAGACAATAGTGCAGGTCGACAATACTGAGCTAGGTGGACCAGCAATTGTGTGGCTCAAGATAATGTAGCTTCAATATTCTATGCTACTTTGCCTATCAAGTTCTACTTTATCGGTAAAAGTAAAGGTAAAAGGTAAAGGACCCCTGGACGGTTAAGTCCAGTCAAAGGCGACTGTGGGGTTGCGGTGCTCATCTCGCTTTCAGGCCAAGGGAGCCAGCGTTTGTCTGCAGACAGCTTTCTGAGTTAAGTGGCCAGAATGACTAAACCACTTCTGGCGCCCCCGTGACAAGTGCCAGAGCACACGGAAACGCCATTTACCTTCCCGCCGGAGCAGTACCTATTTATCTACTTGCACTGGCATGCTTTCGAACTGCTAGGTTGGCAGGAGCTGGGACAGAGCAACGGGAGCTCACCCCATTGCGGGGATTCGAACCACAACCTCCCAATTGGCAAGCCCAAAAAGCTCAGTGGTATAGACCACAGCGTACAAGAGTTACTTCCTACATAAGGAAAACAAGTGAGGCAGAGCTACAATGCGCAGGGTGGTTTAAATATCAGTCCCTCTTTTTGTAGCTGTTTGAGGAGAATAGAGGGTTTCTTAACAATGCTCAGCACCCCCAGGAAACTACAGTTCCCTGGATGCTCTGGGGGAAGCACTGACGTCATATAATTCTGCTTCAAATGCAGCGTGCAGATGCGCCGGAGTGCACTGTGTGTTGGAAACCAGCTATTAGACCCATTGCTGCCCTGCTAACTTGTAATGTTGCTCGCAAAGGCTTTCACATGAGTGACTTTGGGAAGGGGCGCATGTGTCGGTATGTGTGCCATCTGTGTGAGCTCACGGCATCCAGCCCTTGCCTGTAGCTTTTCCCTTTTCAGCCCCGCCCCCCTGCACTGATGCAAGACCTTCACTGCTGCTGTTGCAGGTCCCAGGGCCTCTGGAGACGACGGCTCTGAACTTCTCAACGGCTGAGTGGACGCTTTCCGACATCTGGCAGAAACACCTCAGCAGAGGGAGCAAGCTAGAGGGGGACAGAGATGCCGGCTTGCTGGGTAAGGAGAGAAACATGTCATCAGCAGTAGACATCAACATTAATAATGGGATTTCGGTGCTGGCTCTTTTTAAATAGGCAAGTTAAGTTTCTAGTCCGTTGTGCTGTCTTGGGACGTTATCAGGTTCTTCTTCCTGCCACTCGTTGGGAAAGGGGCTCTGGATTCTTATTTTTATTTTGTACTTCTGCAAACTTGGGTATATCCCCTCACTCCAAGCATGCCAATACTTCATTTAAGCATGGATCGTTCACCTTTTATTCATTCATTCATACGTTTAGTGAGTTTTACCCCCACCTTTCCTCCCAAAGGAGCCAAAGGCAGGAAACAGCAAGTGATAAAACAGAATTTTTTTATTGATTTTCACAAAATTATAAACAAACAAACAAACACATAAAAACAAACAAACATAAATCATAACCTTATTAAAAATTACACTTATTAATATTGTTAAGTGACTTCCTCGCTTCCCCTTGGTTGAATTTCAATGCATATCCTTTTAACGGTTTTCCAAATCACAGTTCTTATAAAATTTAACTTGAACATTAACATCCTTAGATCTTTTCATTTTGAAATTAAACATATTAATTCATCACTTAACTTATATAAAATCCTAAGCCAATTAAGTATCTGCAAGCTGTTTCCAATTAATTTAACTTGACATATTTAACTAAGTAATCATCATATTTAGTCCATTCTTCCTGATACTCCTCCTCCTCCTTCTGGTCGCGGCCTCTTCCGGTTAGGTCGGCTAGCTCCGAAAAATCCATCAACTTCATCTGCCATTCTTCCACCGTTGGTAATTCTTGCGTTTTCCACTTTTTAGCTAGTAAAATTCGAGCCGCAGTTGTGGCATACAAAAATAGTTTAACATCTTTCTTGGGCAATTCCAAACCTGTTATTCCAAGAGGAAAGGCCTCTGGTTTCTTTATAAATGCATATTTCAACATTTTTTTCAATTCATTATAAATCTTTCACCTTGGGGCAGGTCCCCCACTTATGATAAAAGGTTTCTTCCTTTTCTTTACATTTCCAACATAGATTATCACAGTTATGATATATCTTTGCTAATTTTACAGGAGTCAAATACCATCTGTACATCATTTTCATTATATTTGATAAAAAAGAATTTTAAAAAATCGTTAAACTTCTTTAAAGCGTCTTAAAAACAATTCCGGCACATGCACACTGGGAAGGATCTCTGCTGAAAAGACTGGTTGGTCTTCAGCAGACAGCAAAAAGACAGCAGAGATGGGAGTAGATTCCCCAGGGAAGGTGCCCCACCCCACACTACAGGCCTGATTCCTACATTGCACAGAACAGAACTCTTGATAAGGTAGCATTTGCAGAAGCCTCCCACCCCCTGGAGAATGCAGCAATCAATTGAGAATATAGGAATGAGATGATCTTTCAGGTATCCTGGCCCCAAGCTATATAGTCTTTATACATCCAAGCCATGTGAGTTTTAATCTCTTTTTAGTCTCTTGCTGTTTTAATTTTTCAAATGTCTTCAATTGTTAATTTTTCTTTGTTTTGTTTTGTTGTAAACTGCCTTGGTAGAGAATCAGAGAGTTGTATTCCATGGTCAAACAGCAATTAACCACCAGAAAATTTGTCCAGCTGGTGGTTTTGGTCTTGTTTTACAATCAAGAGGTTGATTAATTTTATGAAATACAGTGGTACCTCGGGTTACAGACGCTTCAGGTTACAGACTCTGCTAACCCTGAAATAGTACCTCGGGTTAAGAACTTTGCTTCAGGGTGAGAACAGAAATCGCGTGGCAGCGGGAGGCCCCATTAGCTAAAGTGATACCTCAGGTTAAGAACAGTTTCAGGTTAAGAACGGACCTCCAGAACAGATTAAGTTCTTAACCTGAGGTATCACTGTAGATAAACATAGCATCTTGAATTTGGCCTAGTAGCTAATTGGCAGTCGCATGTTGCAGAATAAAAAGGTAAAGGTACCCCTGACCGTTAGGCCCAGTCGCAGACAACTCTGGGGTTGCGTGCTCATCTCGCTCTATAGGCCAAGGGAGCCGGTGTTTGTCCGCAGACAGCTTCCGGGTCATGTGACCAGCATAACTAAGCTGCTTCTGGCAAACCAGTTAACAAAGAAGAGTGTAAAAAAGGTAAAGGTAAAGGGACCCCTGACCATTAGGTCCAGTCGTGACTGACTCTGGGGTTGCGGCGCTCATCTCGCTTTATTGGCTGAGGGAGCCAGCGTACAGCTTCCGGGTCATGTGGCCAGCATGACTAAGCCACTTCTGGTGAACCAGAGCAGCGCACAGAAACGCTGTTTGCCTTCCCGCTGGAGCGGTACCTATTTATCTACTTGCACTTTGACGTGCTTTCGAACTGCTAGGTGGGCAGGAGCTGGGACCTAACAATGGGAGTTCACCCTGTCGCGGGGATTCGAACTGCCAACCTTCCGATCGGCAAGCCCTAGGCTCAGTGGTTTAGACCACAGCGCCACATGTTGCAGAATACACCCACACAAAAAACCACTGCCCTGCCCAGGGCTGGGAGGAGCATCTCTCCTAGGCACAAGGTATGACTCACGTGCCGACTCTCTTTTATTTTTACCTTATTCCAGGTGGGGGGCGAAGCGAGGATCAGAAAAGCCTCTTACTCAGAAGAAGTGAGCAGATGACGACCCTGAAGCAGGCCAAGGAGAACGTGGTCCAATGTCCTAACCAGGGGGATGCCCTTAAGAATCTGGACAGGCCAGAGCGGAAGCAGGAGCCGCTTCGAGGGATCAAGTCCAATAGACTGTCCCGCTGCAGTGGAGAAAAGGACAGTGGCGACCTCAGCGTGGCTGGGACTCTGCAAGGACTTTCCAAGGGTGAAAGCCAGGACCTCTCGAGGGTGTGTCCCGACCGCCCAGCGCCCGAGGAAGTGAACGCCGACGTGAAAATATACAACTGCGCGGATTGTGGGAAAAGCTTTTCCCGCAGCTCGAACCTCATGAGCCACCAGAGGACCCACGCGGGTGACAAGCCGTACAAATGTTCGGACTGCGGGAAGGGCTTCACCCGCAGCTCGAACCTGATCAACCACCAGAGGACACACACAGGTGAGAGGCCTTACACATGTCTGGACTGCGGGGAGAGTTTTTCTCGAAGCTCGCAGCTCATCAGCCACCGCCGGATCCACACGGGCGAGAAGCCGTACCAGTGCGCCGAGTGCCGGAAGTCGTTCAGCTTGCGCTCGCTCCTGATCCGCCACCAGAAGATCCACACGGGCGAGAAGCCGTACCAGTGCGCCGAGTGCGGGAAGAGGTTCATCGAGAGCTCTGAGCTCATCACCCACGAGAGGACCCACACGGGCGAGAAGCCCTACAAGTGCGGCGTTTGCGGCATCAGCTTCTGCCAGAGCTCGAACCTCTTGGCGCACACCCGGACCCACACGGGGGAAAAGCCCTACCGGTGCGCCAGCTGCGGGAAGAGCTTCAGCCGCAGCTCGAACCTCATTGTTCACGAGAGGACGCACACGGGCGAGAAGCCCTACGAGTGCTCCTACTGCGGGAAAGGCTTCAGCCAGAACTCCCGCCTTCTCAGCCACAAGAGAATCCACACCAGGGAGGCCGTGTGAAAAGCGCTCGGCTCTCGAGAGAGAGAAAGCAAAGCCAGGCACGTTTCGGACAAATGGGGATGTCGAAAACTCCGGCTCTGTTAGGCGCAAGAATGTCTGTGCAGAACGGAAGCGGGGGAACCCTCTGGGAGCTGCTGAACTAGAACTCCCATTGTCCCTTCTCACAGGGGCGGATGGGAGTTGTAGCTCAGCGATGTTTCCCAAACTTGGGTTTCCTGCTGTTTTTGGACTACAACTCCCATCATCCCTAGCTAGCAGGGCCAGTGGTCAGGGACGATGGGAACTGTTGTCCAAAAACAGCTAGAGACCCTGGTTCAGAGGGCCGCTGTTCCTGATGCAAAAGGGCATGGTTAAGAATCAAAATTGTTTCCGGTGGCTGCAGGGAGAGATTGGGTGGGGATCTTGATGCTGCAGAAGCTGAGCTCTTGTGCAGACAGGCCTTCCTCTGCCTCGTCCCAAGGATCCTGGCTCCTCACCCCCAAATTGAGCCTGATCTGAGACTTACTCTGAAGCAGAGGTTTCCAGTCGCCCTCTGATGAGCACTCCCCGGACTGAGACATCTTACGAAACTCATATACCGTTTTGGAGTTCCTGCTTCCAGCGGGTTGGCGTTCGATGGTTATTTTATTTGCCCCAGTGGAGTTACTTGAAATCTGCTTATAGCTCTGCTTAATCATTTTCGTTGCTGCTTTTGTCCTGAACATGTTTGAATTGTTGCAGAGTTTGAGATACTTGAAACAATTTAATAAAATTCCAATGGGAAAAAATAGAATAAGAAATGTTTATAGTACACTACTTATTTCCCTCTCTCTCCTAGTCAATAATGTATTGATGTTGGATTAGATTCAGGAAGAAGGTGGGTGGCTCAGCTAGAATTGGTTGGCTCCGGTGGTCAATGGCTCTCCGGCGCCACCTACTGTCAGGCTCCCTGCCCTCCGCCCTATCATTCCCGATGGATATCAGCCGCTGCTGCTCATCACCATTTCTCTCTTTTTTTTGCTTCCAACGGTGGCCCTTTAAAAGGGTTTAAACCACGGAGCACTGGTTCTCAGAGAAGCCAAGAAATTTGAAGAGGAGGAGGGAGGCAGACTCTAAATACTGCAAAGTCCCTTCCTCCTCCAGCTCCTCCTTTATAGAGAAAGGACAGCATTCTCATCCAGGCATTTGCAACACCCACGAAAACAAACCCCATTATTCTGTTCTGCTACTGTTCCCCCACCTCTTTCCCTTTTGTCTCTTATAACAGAGGGCATGCCCACAGGTGTAGTTTGTGGATGAAATTCATTCTGCTATACAAGTCTTAAAGGGGCAGGGGCTCCAGTCACCTGTCTGAACAATACCACCTCCAATTGTTGTGGTCTTTCATACAATTAAATGCCCCTCCATGTAAATAATTTTTAAAAGCTGCAGATGGCTGGTACTCTTCCTATTAACATGATAGCTTTCTTCAGTTACTGTGATTTGTTTAAAATAAAATAAAATATAAATATATAAAATAATATATGCCCTAAAAGACAGACTGAAATTTTTGATATTATGATATTTAACAAATGCATTTAAGTCCTGCCTGGGGTGATAATGGTATGGTTCAGAAACAACATGATAATATCTATAGCTTTTCTCGAAAAGTAATTGTTAAGTACTGAGTTGAATAGAATCCAAAATGCAGCAGTCTGATTGGTCCTAGAACAATAGGATTCAGAATGCAGCAGTCTGATTGGTCCACAGGAGCCACCCAATCCTGCTCCAGGTGGAAGTGAATCCCCAACCTGATTGGCCTACAGGAGAATCCCGGAATTAGCCAATCACGTGGGGCCTATTGTGTAATGTATATAAAGCAGACATTCTGGGGGAACTTCCCTTCCTCCTCACCAACTATGAGCTGAATAAAGAGCATGAAATCCACTCTCGACTCCAAGTATATTTCAGTAATCAAACTCCTGATTTATTCCTTGTTCTGTGCCTGTAATATGTGCAGTTCCGGCACTTTGGCTACCGGGAGGCTGAGGGCCCCCGCGAGGTCTGCAGCCGCCTCTGGTTCCTGTGCTCCCAGTGGCTGAAGCCCGAGAGGCGCACCAAGGAGCAGATCCTGGAGCTGCTGATCCTGGAGCAGTTCCTGGCCGTCCTGCCGCCGGAATTGCAGAGCTGGGTGAAGGATCGCGACCCAGAGACTTGCGCCCAGGCGGTGGCCCTGGCAGAGGACTTCATGCTGAGGCAGGAAGAGGAGGCCCTGGGGGCAGGTGGTGAAGTCCCCCAGTCTCTCGGAGCGGGAGAGAAGGGTTTTGGGGCGCTGTTGCCTTTGCAACATATGGAGAAAGTGGTATGGGTTAGCCTTTCCCCTCTGCTCTGCCTCTCCATCCCCCCCGACTTCCCCCCTTCTTCTCATTTTCCCTGCCCGGACTTCCCTTCTGCTCCAAACCTAAATTGTCTGTTACCTAGACTAGGATTTTATTTTTTTTTAAAGATATTTATTAAGATTTTACAGAATGAAAAAAGAAAAAGAAAAATACAAAATAAAAATAATTTTAAAAACAATTCCATCTTTCCATCACTTATTTTTCATTTGCTTATTTCCCTGACCTCCTCACACCTCCCTTTTTTGTATTCCAATTCAATTTATTAGTTCAGCAAATCCTTTCCCTCTTTGTCCTTTACTAGACTAGGATTTTTTCAGATCTTCTACTCCCAGGCCTCAGTTGATGGGCCCTGGAGATTTCTGGGATAGATCTCAGAAATAAATGGTGGTGGATGGAGGCAGAGTTGGGTATAATCAGTGGCGAAGGAATCGGATCATTTTCTCCTGCTAACCCCTCTTTGCCAGTTGCCAAAGGATCTTCCTTTGCCGTTGTGGCGTTTGCCTGTGTGAAAATGTCCGTACAGGGGGAGAGAAAGGGTTAATATGTGGACCAATAGGAAAGCTGGAGCCTACCTGTTTATAAAAGGGCTTTGCCCAAGGTTTGGGTGGTAGTAGTTGGTTGGTTGGGACGCGGGTGGCGCTGTGGGTAAAAGCCTCAGCGCCTAGGGCTTGCCAATCGAAAGGTCGGCGGTTTGAATCCCCGCGGCGGGGCGTGCTCCCGTTGCTCGGTCCCAGCACCTGCCAACCTAGCAGTTCGAAAGCACCCGGGTGCAGTAGATAATAGGACGCTCTGCGGGAAGGTAACAGCGTTCGTGTGCTGCGTGGCTCACCAGATGACTTGTCCGTGGCACTGACCAGTGTCCGAACAGGGGCCTGTTAAGGAGATGGTGCACAGAGTCGTCAAGACTGGCCGTACGGGAGGTACTTACTTTACCAGTTGGTTGGTTGGCTGGGAAAGCAGTTGGAAAAGCAGTTGGCAGACAGTTGGAATTAGAAAGACAGTAGTGCAGTTGTTTTGGTGCGAGGTAGAAGAGTTACAGAGACAGGATAAAATAAGACGAAGGTAAGGAAGAGTAAACAGCCGGTTTTGACATGCTAGTTAAAGTTTATTGTGGTTGCAATAAACTACACTCTTCTTTGGGAGGCGGTTGCGCTAGTGGGTTAAACCACAGAGCCTAGGACTTGCCGATCAGAAGGTCAGCGGTTCGAATCCCTGCGATGGGGTGAGCTCCCGTTGCTCGGTCCCTGCTCCTGCCAACCTAGCAGTTCGAAAGCACGCCAGAGTGCAAGTAGATAAATAGGTACCACTCCGACGGGAAGGTAAACGGCGTTTCCGTGCGCTGCTCTGATTCGCCAGAAGTGGCTTAATCATGCTGGCCACATGACCCGGAAGCTGTACGCCGGCTCCCTCGGCCAATAAAGCGAGATGAACGCTGCCACAACCCCAGAGTCAGTCATGACTTTATTTCATATATACAGAAGCAATGTACACAGCTTAATACATTGGCAGGATTTTAAAAAGTCTTGTAAAGACATTATGATTGGAGCAGAAGTAATTTTAATGATTTCATAATTTAAAATGGACATGCAGTAGGATGATAAACAATGGAACCAGGGAAGGGAATAAGGGGAAGTCAACTCTATTTCCCCTCCTATGTTTGAATATGTATTGTTGCTTTTATTTTTTCTTGGTTTTGGAAAATTAATGAAATAAAATAATATTTTTTTAAAAGCAAAAAAAAAAAGCAAAGCAGCTTTACCTCTTTCCTGCACCCTGACATGCTTTTATCTCGGTGGGCCTTGGCAGGACAGTTATCCACAGGCCGGGCAGAATTAAACACTCTCCTCTTCTTTAGTGATGCTATAATCTGTCAGCAGAGTGACACTGATTTCGGAGCCTGTGACCGACATGGCCCTGGTGGGAGTTGCACTCTGGACGATGCGGGAATGGCCCGGAGGGGTCTTGGCTTGGCAGCACAGGACTTCCTTCTTAAAATGTTGGCGGAAACTTTTGCTCAGCCAGTAGAGAGCAAAGGGGTTGACGCAGGAATTGCTGAAAGCCAGAGCCCGGGAGAATATTGTGGCAACGAGGTGGAAGGTGGATGTGTCGACGGAAGCGTAGTAAGTGAAGGAACGATAAAGGTAAAGGACATGATTCGGGAGCCAACAGAGGGCAAATAGGCCAACCAAGACCAGCACAGTTTTGGCGACTCTCTTGCGAGATTCAATCTGCAGGGGGAAATCGTTGCACATGTAAAAAAACTCACTTTTTTAAAAAATAAAATAAATCTGCATATGAGAGTCACGAAAAGCAATGTGTACGCCACCCCACCTACCCCACATCACCCCATGTACATCGAGAAAGGGAACCCTCTGAAGAAGCTTGTCACCTTTGGAAAACGTGCTGAGAAGGATTAAGAAGATCTTGTGGATCCTTACACTACTGTCAGGGAGCACTGTGAACAGATTGAGAAATGTGTGAAAGCTTGGGAACGTTTAGAGGAGTGTACAGAGGCACTCTTTGCCTTCTTGCATGCTAGAGACCATTGTGGCTCAGAAACTCTTCAGCAAATTGAAATAAATGTTAATATAAGCCTGTGTCCTCCTTGTGCATAGCTGATGAAAACCTGAGTCTGTTCAGTTTGAGTAAATACGCAGCTCTGCACCTGTGATATGAAAGTGAATGCAGCTAGCTCTGTGGTAATTCTGGGAGAATTTAAGAGTTGCCATCAGGATACATCTATGTTATGTACAGTGGTACCTAAGGTTAAGAACTTAATTCGTTCCGGAGGTCCATTCTTAACCTGAAACTGTTCTTAACCTGAAACACCACTTTAGCTGATGGGGCCTCCCGCTGCCGCCGCGCGATTTCTGTTCTTATCCTGAAGCAAAGTTCTTAATCCGAGGTACTATTTCTGGGTTAGCGGATTCTGTAACCTGAAGCGTCTGTAACCCAAGGTACCACTGTAGAAGATTTGCAGCTGCTTAACAAAGTGTTTCTGTAGACTTCTGATATTAAAAATATTTCCTGTCCAAAAAAAATTAAATCTGCATACAATCTCTTTAAAAAAATAATAATTGTGACTAAAGATTTTCCTCATTCAGAAAAGCACAAGCATTGACCCTTTCTTCAGGTTGTGTTTCCTACAAATCAGTTTCATTTGTTGTGAGACATCGGTGTCATATGCATTATAAGGTTAGGAAGAAAAGAGTTGGAGAGGGAGAGGGGTGGTGGTAAAGCTTATGTTTTTTTACTTAGTGTACGTGTGGGGTTTTGTGTCAGCGTTAGCTGGGTAGGTGGTTCTTTCTATTCATTTATTACATTTCCTTGGTAGTGAGAGGTATTGGGGGCCAGGGTGTGGTTGGTTGTCTGTGGTTGGCTGCAGTGGGGTTTGTTTGCATTTGAATCAGGTTAGCCATATTGATTCGTTTGCTGATGGTGGACTCTTGTCGTTGTCTTGTTGGGCTGTGTATGTGATAAAGGGAACCAAACTGGGATGAAGGCGTCGTCTTCTTTTTGTCCCTGTGGTAGCTTCAGTTTATTGATAGCCATGATAGCCATGTTCAAATATATAAAAGGATGTCACATAGAGGAGGGAGAAAGGTTGTTTTCTGCTGCTCCAGAGAAGCGGACACGGAGCAATGGATCCAAACTACAAGAAAGAAGATTCCACCTAAAGATTAGGAAGAACTTCCTGACAGTAAGAGCTGTTCGACAGTGGAATTTGCTGCCAAGGAGTGTGGTGGAGTCTCCTACTTTGGAGGTCTTTAAGCAGAGGCTTGACAACCATATGTCAGGAGTGCTCTGATGGTGTTTCCTGCTTGGCAGGGGGTTGGACTCGATGGCCCTTGTGGTCTCTTCCAACTCTATGATTCTATGATTCTATTGGTTAGTTTTTCTAATAAGACCGTTCCCCATACAATTTCATACCATTGGTCCATGTTTATTCCTGACAGGTCTCTTCAGTGTCTGGCTATGAAGCCTCTGGCTACTGAGAGTAGATGGGTTATGAGCTCTTTATGAGCGGGCATTATTATCTTGGATGATGTTCAGTAGGGCCAGTTCTGGGGTGACGTCTAA